ACACAAGGGAAGTGGTTACTGTATCTTTGGCTAGAGTAGGGAGGATTTTTTTGGTTACAACGATCATGAACTCGAGTTCGGTACCAAAGAATGATTTTAGGTCGTTCGAGACGGTGTTGAAATGCCTTTTGATTTGAGGAAATTGACGACATTAGAGGGTGATGGAAGTTTTCTGACGACAAAGCTGTAGCAAATACAAAAAAATACGACATCTTTGATACACAACGCTAGATAATAAAAACACAAAGTAACTTTATTACTATATTATTCACTTATCGAGCGAGCAAAAAATTTAAATGGAAAAAAGTCTTAAACTATGGGCCTGTTTGGCAGTGGTTTCTGCTTCTAAAAGATCTTTCCATTCCGGAAGACCTTTGAAGAAAGTCCATTGAACCAACTTCTTCTAAGAATTTTTCTAAATAGAAGAAACATTTTTATAAAATTAATCAAACAATGTCTAAAATCAACTTTGGAACTCAAAATCATGCCAAACCCTACGGGCAGAAGGCTTAGAAAGATGCAAATGAATAGAGTGGTGTTCGAGTACAATGTCTATAATCGAGACTTACAAAAATCAAATTATTTTAAAAAGTATACGATGATAATGAAACTCAGAAAGTTTTTCACGCTACTCTATCTTGAACCTGTACAAAATAAGACGGAAGAGTGTGTTACTCGATAACATTCCCACATTCAAATCAAAATGAAAATCTCATGAATCACTCATAAATCATTGACTGGCCTAATTCATTGAACTATCACGAAATCATTGACTTCTAAATATTGGATTTTAGTCTCTTTAATCTAATTAAATGTCCCAAATTCAAACGTGATAAGAATATGAAAATATATAAATTTTTAAGTCGCCCTCATTTCCATTGATGTCGAGTTGGATAGGATCATATGTGTGAACTTTGGGAACGTTGACCCTTAACTGTGGTCAACTTGAATATTCTACAAAAAAAAAAAATTTGACTTTTCACATGTTATTATGTAAATTGCAAGTTTGAAAAAGAGAAATGAACGACGCAAGGGTGAAGGGACGAACTTGTATAGAAAATTTAGGGATTATAGAAAAAAATTGGTGTGTTTGAGAATAAGAATAGGGATTTTAAGATGTTTAATTAAAGTCTCTGTTTGACAATCATTATTTTAAAACTCTTTATTTCTCATTCTCATTTTTAAACACACATTTACACGATAAGAATATGAAAATATATAAATTTTTAAGGCAACCCATTTCCATTGAAGTCGAGTTGGATAGGATCGTATGTGTGAACTTTTGGAATGTTGACCCTTAACTGTGGTCAACTTGAATATTCTACAAAAAAAAAAAAAAATTAAATAAAAAAATTGACTTTTCACATGTTATTATGCCCATGTTTGGTACACATTAAAATTTTCATTCTCATTATTTTACTCATTTTCAATAACATATTTTTCATCACATCAATAATTTTTTGTTCTTTTTCAACCACAAATTCTCCATCAATCTACTATTTCAGAATACATTCTTTCAAAATAATGTAGCTCAAACACACCCTATGTAAATTGCAAGTTTGAAAAAAAGAAATGAATGACGCAAGGGTGAACGGATGAACTTGTATAGAAAATTTAGGGATTATAGAAGATAATTGATGTGTGTGAGAATAAGAATAGGGATTTTAAGATGTGTAATTAGGTCTCTGTTTGATAACCATTATTTCAAAACTCTTTAATTCTCATTCTCATTTTCAACCACACATTTATACGATAAAATATTTTGTACTAAAATTCAAAAATTTTCTCTACTTTTTAACTATACATTCTCCAAAAAAATCACTATTTAAAACTCTATTTTTTGAAATAATGGCTATTAAACAGGGGCTAAAACTTGTCTTGACTTATATATTGTTAGTCAAGATTATTTATCGAAAGTATTGATAGATGTGATGGTTCTCCCATATGTATGGAGATGAAAGGGGACACGCTTCTTCAGTTTTAGGTGCATTTGCTTGTCACGTTATTTTGGAACCTTAAGTGGACATCGACACACTGCTACCACATTCTTAATTTTTAAGATCAACTATGTCCGGCTAAATTCCGTCCCACATTATTGTAGAAAGTTGTTACTAAAATCTAAATAAGGTCAAGAACCTTCTATACATATATGATTTGTTCAGCACTAGTTCAATCGTGCTAGTCTTTGATTTTTCTAGTTTTTCGTAGCATGATCTATACCTTCACTAATGTTCTCTGGGCATGGTTTTGACCTCATCCTCTTGGTCTTGGGCTCAGTTTAAGCCCTTGTTTGCCCCCATTATATCACATTCCATTACATTAATTTTTTCTCTCTCTTCATCTCAACCATCCATTCATCAAATAAAATAATAATACACACAAATCAAAAACTTTTCAACCACACATCTCCCATCAATCACTATTCTAAAAATTATCTACCCCCCAAAA